CTGATCGGATAACATTCCGATCAGAAGCGCGTTTACACTTGTCTTTTCAATGTGTATGTGGACAACATCCGGAAACAGGTCACATGTTAATGCCAAGTGTAAACGGAGCCTAAGACAGGGTTCCTCAAATCTTGCCCTGGAGGGCCAATGCACTGCAGTGTTTAGCTCCAAACCTGATCAAACTCACCTACCTGTGATTTTCTAATGATCCTGAAGACATTGATTAGCATGCGTTTGATTAGGGTTAGAGCTAAACTCTGCAGGAAAGTGGATCTCGTGGGCCAGATTTGAGGATCCCTGCTCTAAGACCTGAAATTGGTGTGTCAGAGAAAGGAGACATGCAAAATGTGCAGTGTTGGGAACCACTGTTCTAAACTATAATTAATCCTTTACACACACAGCTGTAGGTTTAAACCCTTGAAAAGATGATGCACTGGAAATCACCACTGACACCACTGAGCCCCTGTATAATCCCTGTGAAGAGTGTACTCTGAATTCAGCATCTGCTAAATGAGAACTTGCATACTTTTCTTTCTAAATGAAGGCAATTGAAGCACAAGCGATTACAGCATCATATTTATTGGCCTTTTCAAAACGCATTGCACTGAAAGCTTCATTGACTTCAACACTGCTTCTAGCTTCATTGTGTCTCAGATATGCGGTAGGTAATGCAAGTTAAAAGGTGTGAAAGCTTTCAGCAGCCCAGCAATGCTACATTTCGCTGGCATCAACATGCACTTGGCCAGCAGATCGAAAGACTGACTCTCTTCCTCACAAACACACATGGGACCAGAAACATAATAAATAACTGCAATGCACGCAGATCATAGCACACACTGTAAGGGGGAGATAACTCAAATCAGAAAGGGATGGCAGGAATCACACAGAGCTGGACTGAGTGCAACTCAGCATGCAGTGAGCAGCAAGCAAGCCAAGGCCATTAAATAAAAGCAGCACAACTCACACATGCATACAAACCAGAGGAAAGATCATGAAACTGTCTCGTTTTAGACAAAAGGAAAAGCAGTGCGCCTCATTTAAAGCATGAATGCTAGCTTTCAACACACAACGCGTGAGACAACGCTGAGACGCAAATGTTGACTCCCACAATGTAGCACAGACTACAAAGATTATTGACTCTGGAAGCAAATAAATTCAGTTTGAACAAGAAGACAATGGAAAGCTGTGGCAGCTGGACAGAAGGGGAGGAAAGAGAGCATTTCATCATCGGGTCAGTAATGAAGCCCTCCTGGGATGCACTAGGGGGGTAAGATAACCCAATTAGGCCGCGCTCATGACGTCCAATGCTAGGCAAAACAGTGAGGGACGGATAAGATTAATGGGCTGCTGAAAGAAAGCATCAAAAAGTACTAAAAGAGAAAAAAGAAAGAACGAACGACAAAGCAAAGCAGGAATGAGTGGTGACCCCTTTTCTGTTCCTGCGATTTGCTCAAGAATGGTTCAAAGGACAGGTCAAAGGCCATGGTGGGAGACAGTCCTTCTCCAGAGTCGGATTTAAGGGCCGGCCTCACAGGATAAACAGCCCTGAAGCGGATGATATGGATGAGTGAGTGCACACACAGAAACACCCATAGATCATGAAGATGATCAGTGCATATTTCCCGAAGTATCTCTATCCCCACATTGAAACCGATTCCTTGATCGATTGATCTGAGTTTCATGCTCTTCACTCCACGTGACAATCTTGATTTATATCTGACACCAAATGAGAGTGCTGCAGCATTTGTTTTCAGTTTAGAAGACCTTATTTTCCAGAACAGGGACTAAATTCATGAAACAATCTTAAGAATAAAATTCTTGTTAACTGCCATTTTCTAACTTTCGAATAAAATCAAGAGTATTTTGTATTTCACAAACATTTCTTAAGAAGTTTATTTTTTCTTGATATTATTCTGAAGACAAAACTCAACAAGAACCTGAATTCCTGAAAAGAATCATCGGTGAAAATTTTTTTTATTGAGTTGAACAGTCTTCAACACCAAAGCCTGTCATTTTCTTCTTTAAAAAAGAAAATAGCTTAATATCTCAGGAATATTTTCAAGAATGACATTTACAAACTTGATAGAATTTATCTTAACAATTTTTTTTTACTTCTTTCTTAAGAAGATTTTTGTGAATCCACAAAACAATTAAATTAAATGTGTGAATTAAACGTTTAAATTAAAGCATGAATGAAAGTAATGAAAATTATAGCCATACATATAACAAATATTTCCTCCTCCTGTTTTACAAGTATAGTGTACTCAAAATGCAGAGGAGAAAAACAAATACAGTAAACAAAATGCATCTAATGTGTATAACCCACGGAGCAATACTAAAGCATCAAATCAAAATTCATGGAGGCAGAATGAGGTAGAGGTGGAGGTATGTTGGTTGGTGCTGATGGGTCAGCAGTGGCGCCCCAAGTCTCACACTCCCACCCTGAGCGCTGCTCTCCAGGGCAGTGAAGCCGAGCAGAACAGGAAATAGCTGCTGACTTAACCCCCAACTGCGCTCAGCTTCACCGGCCCCTAATTAGACAGATATTGTTAAGGGGCTTTTCTCAGGACATTTACATTTCAGGCATTGTCTTGGCTATGTGCAAAATGGATTAGGTTAATGGTTAGGATGTGGATCGGGGGTTAATTATGATTTATGGCAAAAGTTCATATGCCTGTTCAGCCTGTGATGCTTTAGAAAGCAGAATAAACAATCTCTCTGTGCTCTAGCGTGGGAAACTAAATTATGCAGGTATCTATACAGTACATTGCCATGCAGTTCTAACTGACATACAGTGAGATTCTGTGTAGCTGAACTACAGTATAATGTATACACGACATAATGTGTAATTGAATATTTAAAGGATTAAAAGCATGTTGTGCATCTTTCAAAACTAGTGCACAACGCTAAGACCAGTTGTAGTCTGAGTAACCTGTATAAATGCTGGACAAAAGCTACAAACACATTATGTAGGTCTGTTAGTCAGGTTTCTAAATTTTAGTCGAACTAAAGCATTTAAATAACATTTTAAAAAAGATAAATTATTATTTTAGTCATACTAAACTACTATATACATATACATTCACTATCTATAACATATTTGATATTATTTATTATGATCTACTTTACATAAATTTGTTATATTTGTCAATTTTTACATGTATTTTTATTTGTTTTTCAATTTAATCCATACGTTTTTTTATATTTAATAAATGAATGTTTCCAAAGACAAATAATCAACATCTTAGTAATTACCAAAATAATCTTATTTATTTATTTACACAATCACTCAGCCCTAACACACAATGACATATGTTTTGCCAGGTAACCTAAATGACTAGTTTACGAAAACAAGTCATTTTTATAAATGAGGTTAGGAATAAATCACTGCTTAAATGTAAAAAAAAAGAAAGGCTGAACATGAATTACTATATAAACAAGTAAACTCAAAGCAGCTACATCTTGAGTATTTCACACGGTTTAAAGTATAAACACAGACTTTGTTCTTTATATCTAAAGTTATATTGCACCTTTCAGTAAACAGTGCTGGCTATCCAAGGCATCTCAAAGAGATGTCCGTGACCTCTCCACACTGCATCATCAGACAGCAGTGCAATAAACTTCCCTCTCACAGCATGTAGACGATGCAGCTGCATGTGTTTAGTAAACACCGTCTGTTTCATCAGTCTGTGACTGACGGGAGGAGGGGGTGAGAGATCAAACCATCAGCACAGAGAGCGAAGACGACTCAACACCTGCGTACTTCAGAGACACCCCACATCCCACCCACAACAACTCTAAGCCATTTACCCAAACAGAGTAAATATTTACAAGATCAAGGTCATAAGCTGTGGTCACAGGTCAGTCAAGGTGATGAGGTCTGGACAGAAGTGGAGGGCTTACATGTTGGATGATGTTTTGCCTAATTTCTTGCCTTGTTATGTCTCAAAAAAAAAAGCCTAATCAACCACATGCATTGCCAGCACTATAGGAGGGAAATGAAAAAGATGATATACTGATAAAAAAAAAAACATACTGTTGATTACGTCTGATTTAGCATAAAAAAAAGCTTGCCTAAATATAAACCTGAAAGCAAGACTGCATAAATATGCAAGTATTCAAAAGCTCTCTGTCCTAATGAATGAGTGAGTTGAAGTTTGAATAAGTCTGGACAGTGATGCCAATATATTTTACGCATGTTTTAACTGGAATAAACCATGGACAAAGGTACAGACAGGAGAGATGGGTGTAACCCCATCTCAGGAAAGAGGAAACAGACTGTCAGACTCACAACAGGAGCATTAGGTGGAGAGCAGGGAAATCAGCAGTGAATTTAGGTAGAAGCACAAACTGAATAGAATTAATAGTTTATTCTAACAATATATCATCAGTCTTTATTCATCTACAAAAAGCCACAGTTAATATAGCAAGTTACCAGTTATCATTAAACTTTGCTGTGTTCTTTTGGAAAACCCATCTTAAACTGGCATCTATTTTGGAACATGCTGTTTCTAGCTGGTCCAAGCCAGTCACTAGCTAATTGACCAGCCACAATATTTTAGAAACTTAAAACCAGTTTTAAGTGTTAAACTTAACCAGCACAGCTTAACCAGTGTTATTCGGGCCCATTACTGACCAGCTTGGACCAACTAGAACCTACTAGGTTTTCACACAGCTGAATTTTCCTACTGGGAATGTAGCAAATTCAACAAACGTCATTGAAATATGAATTTACTTATCTCAGCTCTTTATTCACGAACGGGTTGCCTCTTGTTGAAATAGGCCTATTTTAACGGTTGTCTATTTAGTGTGAAAAAGAACGTAGGCTACTTTCCCCCTTGGAAATATTTTAAGTTTTTAACTGACTGCAAACAATCGATAAAAAGTAGTTGAAGTGGACATAAATGGCAAACATTACTCAAAAAAACAATGTAAACCGTCAAATAACAACTTCTGGTTTTGTCCAACAAGTTACTTCTGTCATGTCATATAAACCTTACCTCTTTGACTGATCTTTGTGGAGTGCTGTCCCGGTCTGGTATTTGTAAACTCCGGGTCCCCACGTCCCCTGAACGCATGTCAGCCACAGTATCAGCAGCAGCGTCCCCAGGAGGAAAGAGCTCCGGTGAACCGCAGACACCGAGCGCCCGTCACCCGCTCCCATTGTCAACTATATGGAGACCCTAGTCAGCAAAATACCTCTTCTAATACTGTCCCGCTAATGTTCAAACTGTGACTAGAGGACAGATATACGACTCGCAAAACTAATTTCTGAACTGCCGTTTCTCTTAACGAGAATTAAAATAATAAAAGTCTTGTTTATGCGTCTCAAACACGAGAGTTAAAAGTTTCAGAGGATTGTCATCGGCAGACCCCGCCACAAATAAATCTCCTCACAAAGTTTGCTCGCAAACCGCAAGGCAAACGTTTCTTAGCAGCCACCCAAACCGGTCCCGCCTCACTCCTCCATCTCCGTCTCTGTCTGTACGTTACGGTATATTTCTTGACTACATCAACACAACGGGCAAGAAAGCTGTTTTATAGTCGCCTTGAGTCCCACAGCCCGTATAGTTTTTTTTCACCCAGCCCAGCTCCCTCTCCCTCTGTCCTCTCACACATGCAGCACTCCCCCTTCCCTGCTCTTCCAGTGAAAACTTTTACACATGAAACAAACATAATTATGCAAGTCTAATTTAAAAATACAAAAAGAGCCAGAAAGACTAATAAGCACGACCACTACTCACAGAAATGACAACTGTTTCTCCAAGCAATACTTAATTTGAGTCTTTTCTACAGCAATCTTACCTCACCTGTCTCCGATTCAGAAGCGATCTGAGCAATGTGCTCAAAATGACCAAGATACCAAAATTTACAATCAAAAGTCAATATGATCTCTATAAAATAATCTTCTCAATATGTTCTTCCAAGACAAATGCTATCAATATTTTTTTTAAAAGAACTGTAAAAACTCTCTTTCATCACTTGTTTCATTTGTGTCTGTTTTTATATCTCCCAAGAAATATTAGGCAAAACATCCAATGCTTTAGGAATATTTGCATAATATTTATTGTTACTGCTCTGATGCCAAAGCAAATTATTAAAAAAATTAATAAATAAATCTGGAAAACATTTACTTGTTGACAGCATTTCCTTTTCTATCCACTAATGAATTAATGGTAGAAACATTTTCAATTTATATTTATTCATAAACTTAAAAATAAGTGTCAAACGTTTTCACAGCAAGTCAGTAGAACCATTTTGGGTTCCCCAAAAAACCTTTTAGTAAACAGTTCAAAATAAAAAAAAATTTGTTTGAGTGAAAACAGTTTAATAATCAAAAGAAACCTTTTCCACTATAAAGAAACTTTTGTGCAAAGGAAGTATGTTAAAGGTTCCTTGTGGAACCACACTGTCAAAAAATGCACCCCTAAACGTACACTTTTTGCACAACAGCTTGTCACTAAACCTTAAAGGGGCAACTTTGCCCTTATCCATCCCTAGAAGTTGCATATTAGTACCTTAGAGTAGTTCTTAAGGTACTTTTCTGAATCTTTTAGGTGTAAATAAGGTACAAGTTAAAGGTACTGCCTCTATGACGAGCTGTTGTACCCCTAAAGGTACATTTTTTTCTTAGCGTCCATGGGTGTCAAAATAATGAACCTTTATTTTTAAGACTGCATAATGCTTTTCATACTAAAGATCATTCCAAATTTGTTTTACAGTTAATCTTGACAACACATTTGATAAAAAAAAAAAAATTTTTTTTTCTTAGTTATTTGGTGGACCCCCATTATAAATGATAAATAAACATAAGAAGTGCTAAAGCATTCTTTTCAGCATGGGTCTCGCCTCTTCACATGCTTACACTTCAGATGGCTTAAAGAGTCATACGACTGCCATAACATGAAAACCTCCTCCAGAAGACAAAGCACATTCTAACATCTGGATAGCATCCAGAACGGGGCAAGGGGAGAGAGCGATACAGAACGAGAACCTCAGGAACACAGTTTACTCTAACCTCTCCTCTGCCTGGTGAAAAAAGGGGAACTAAGGGGTTTCTGAAAACCGCAAAACTGTGGTTCACGTCCAAGCTAAACACCTGGCTCAGCAGGCAGGACGGACTCCAGCCCACTCATCTATATCTGAGGTCGAGGTGACTACGCTAGGCGGACCCCCTGACAGCCAGAGAAATAAGCAAAGCACGGAGAAGGGGCATCAATCACACGGGCCGCCAAGATCTGCAGGTGTTGAGGGGATGCCACTTGTCATAGTTTGACATGTTTGACTACAGTTTGACTAAAATAAAGGGCAAAAATGAACTAGCAGAATGTGAGGTACTGACAATGGAAAGTAGATATTAGTGCATCTGTGTTTGACTGAATAGGCTTTATTCCTGCTGCCAGATTTGGTCAAAAAGAAGCAAGTAGGAAAGTTACGATGAGGGTGTGTGCAACACTTCAGCACTTTAAGTTTGGTGCGTCTGTGGCATTTTAAAAAGCAGCCATGCCAACCAGGCACTGAAGCATTTCAGGGTTAATATAAATCCCTGCTGTTGAAGAAAGCTGAAAATAATCTGGGCTTCAAAAGAAATAAAAAGGTAGGCCGGTAGTGGTAGGAGTCTTTGAATGAACAAACTCTCTTGTTTTGCTCTCTTGTCTTCATCGCTCTACTGAGAAATTAAAGCTTGTTGTGGCATAATAATGTTGAAAACAAAATGTAAAATGCAAATTATTGCCCAGCTCTAATCTGCTAAACTGTGACTATAAAAAAATGAAGATATTAAGATATTACGATCATTAACATTGTGGATTTTCTGCAAAGCTGCTGTAAAGTGATATACAAATAAATTTGGCTTGACTTCGACTTGGCATTACATTTTATAGCAATTTCAACTTGGGTTATAGTTAGAGACTTACAATAAAAATACAAAAGCACAGCCATGAGATGTAAGCAAAGTGTTCACATGATTTTAGTGTGAAAAAACACAAATTACTTGCTAATCATTTCTGTGAAAAGTTATCTAATTTTACAGAATTGTTGCCAATACCTAAAACCCTAAAATTATCAACTTTTACAGCAAGAACTTTGAAGTTGCAATGTTATAGAAGTAGTGACAGATCTTTTCTTCAGAGTGAAACAGATTATCTGAAAAGGTTTCACTTGGTCAATTGTAAGAAAAGGTTTATAGTTTATGCAGACAAAACGTTTCTGCTTTGAAATCCATTAAAAATGGGCCCCATTCACTTCTACACTAAATGCCTCACCGCAACACTGTAGCGTTTCCTTTCATTATGCAACAAATGCTGAAAATTGAGCTTAACTTGTACTGAACCTGAAATTTTGCTATAAATGAAGCCACCTTATTGTTTCCCTCTGATTATTTACCATTCCATCTAAAAACTCTAAAAACGATTTCCCGCTTCATTTAAGCAGAGTTGTTAAACACACTCTTTATAGCCTTGAATTGATTGTGTAAACTTTTAAAAGTGCCCCCAATGAACAGTCCTTGTAGTCCTTGTGTAAACTTTTAAAAGTGCCCCCAATGAACTCCTATTGTTAACGGAGTTCCTGGTGCAAACATTGAGCACTTGTTGGCACTTTAAACATTCCGGACAAGGATTTGCTGAGAAGAGGGCACTTTGTTCTAAATTTAGTGTTGGCGAAGCTGACTGTATGTTCTCTACGCTGTGTTGGTAAGACTTTGTCCCACTTAATTATAAAGAATCAGCTCACCTGGCCATAATTCATCTATTTTTAACAAGGAGAACAAATAATCAGCCAGACAAGAGGAGAGAAAGAAAAAAAAGGTGGATATCCCAGGTGGAAAAGTTCCTTTCTGCTCTATTTGATGCAGATACATTTTTTCCACAAATGCTTGCTTTTTCTTGGGCAAACTTTGAGCTTTCAGAAGCAGGAAACATATATCAAGTTCTATAAGAATAGGTCAAATTCCACTGGTGACCCACAGGTTATGTATGAAAAATGTGACATATGCCAAACCTAAGCATAAACATATGCAGATCGGACATGAAAAGACAAGCCTCTTAAATTTATGCTCTCATACCTATATCCTGTACGTATATACGGCACATAAGTTCGAATATGTCTGCCCTCAATCTGACTGATGTGCTTTTTTTCTTTGAGGTTTTGTTGGAGAATGTACCATTGAACAGGACCATGAGTGAGGGGTTTGGGGGAAGCCTCAGATGGGAGCTGGTATGGATGCCTGGGTGAAACATAATCTAGAGAAAGAAATGTTAGGACTGTAATTAAGTGAACACAAAGCAGCCCCTCTTTCTCCCACTAGTACCATCCCCCATGGTTCTGAAGGCCCATGGCCATGGGTGTTAGAAATGTCATGAGGAATCATATAGACAGAAGACTTAATAAAGAGATCTATCCTCTGAGATTACTTATATCAGGGCCTGGAGAGGGATCAGGAGACCGGGGTGAGATGGGGTGCATGAGCTGTGTTGGCAGGAGTCCAGACGTCAGACAAACAGAGAGGAGAAAGTAGTTGCCTTCTGCTTCTCCTTGTGGTTCAATGGTACCACGAGACACTAGTTTGGAGTGTGCTGCCTCCTAGTGGTACACACACACACACACGCAGGCACAAGTGTAGAATAGATTAGAACAGAAAACAAAACCATTATTTTATATTTTTATAACATTTTACACAATTACAGTTTTTTTCAAATAACTGTTTTACACATAAATGCAGTGTTCATGAGCATAAGAGACAAACATATTTAAAAAAAAATCTGAATTATATTAAACTTTTGTTCAGTGGTGTATATAAAAATGAATAATATATTATTGTACATTTTCTATATAGAGTGGAAGCCAAATGAGCTTCGTAAGACCACAAAAATGTAAAACTTGAAAACAAGTAAATAAGTGTAACTAACAAATAAGTAAATTTGTAAAACAAGTAAATCAAGTAAGTAAATCTTTGGAACATTAATTGAAATTCATTCATTCATTTGCACTTAAATTGTTATGCAGGTCTATAATTCACAATGGCAAACACAACATATTATTGTAAATTAGATGTAATATAAGTGCAGTTTTGATTAGTGATCTTAAACGTTTTGGCCCCACTGTATATAACAGAGAGGAGAAAGTAGTTGCCTTCTGCTTCTCCTTGTGGTTCAATGGTACCACGAGACACTAGTTTGGAGTGTGCTGCCTCCTAGTGGTACACACACACACACACGCAGGCACAAGTGTAGAATAGATTAGAACAGAAAACAAAACCATTATTTTATATTTTTATAACATTTTACACAATTACAGTTTTTTTCAAATAACTGTTTTACACATAAATGCAGTGTTCATGAGCATAAGAGACAAACATATTAACAAAAAAAAAAACTGAATTATATTAAACTTTTGTTCAGTGGTGTATATAAAAATGAATAATATATTATTGTACATTTTCTATATAGAGTGGAAGCCAAATGAGCTTCGTAAGACCACAAAAATGTAAAACTTGAAAACAAGTAAATAAGTGTAACTAACAAATAAGTAAATTTGTAAAACAAGTAAATCAAGTAAGTAAATCTTTGGAACATTAATTGAAATTCATTCATTCATTTGCACTTAAATTGTTATGCAGGTCTATAATTCACAATGGCAAACACAACATATTATTGTAAATTAGATGTAATATAAGTGCAGTTTTGATTAGTGATCTTAAACGTTTTGGCCCCACTGTATATATTTTAATCTTAAAATCT